TTGACTCTATTTTCTCTTTGAAAAGAATGCAGAAAAACTAGTTTTGGATTTTGGCAGAGTTTCAGTATCGGGAAAAATCTATGTAAAACTCGTAGTTAAAACAAGAGGGGGTATGGTGCTATTTATAGAAAATGAAGGGATGCATTGAAGGGAGGCAACTCTTCATATGGGTGGTTACACCCCAACCATTGCATTGGTTTGTTTAAAATATTTCAACCATTGCATTGGTTCGGCCTCATGGAAGTTGGACCGGTTTGGTTATTCCAACCGCCACATCGATTCGGTTCGATTTGGTTCAACTCGGTTTGGTTCATTTGGTTACACAAACCAATTTAACCAATTAACCACATACTACATCACATCGATCGAATTCGAGGCCATGCCTTCTCACATCTTACCAACATTGTACTTCAAGAGACTCTCTTGAAACTTTCCCCTTTTATTTCCATTCACACCACTAAAAATCCCAACAGGAACATGGGAGGGGGACGTGTCGGTTGGAACTGTGGACGGCAGGCCGGCCTTGTCCCGAATTTAAACATGTTTTCTGGTAATGGAGTCAGCTGGGTCTCTGAATCAGCCCAACATAATATCAATGCACGGCCGCCATAATACAAGTTATTTTTCTCCATCAAAGGTGGTACAAATTTTGATCAACAATGGTCAGCTTGGAATTTTATTCGAATTCAGAAAGCAAAACTGTATGAATGAGCTAGATTATATTTGCCTCAATAACTTTGTTAGAAGAGGGTTGGTTGAAAATATACTATCATGCATCTAGCACTCTTTATCTCCTCTAGCACTTTTACCTCATTCATTTTAATATGAATTAAAAAAAATATCTAGAAGAAATGAGTCATAACTGTATACATAGTGATATATTTTTTATATATGTATTGGATTATTATTTTTAAACCAATTATAATACCGTCTAAGCGTCTACCGCCATCCTACTAGCTACTATAGTCTATTTCTATCACTATGATATATTTCTACCATCATTGTACATTTTGATACATCATGGTATCAAATTTTGTACTATAATTATCATGATCTACCATCATAATATACCGTGGTAAAAGAAAAACTCATCGATTAACTCTTTTTATACCAAATTATATCAAAATATATTTTTAAAGGTACAATTAAAAATAGGCAAAATACACATATATAGCCATAACTTTCACGTTTGTGACAAATATAGCCATAACTATCAAAAAACATAAAATAGCCAATTCTGTCCATCCCTTAAACGGTGGCATCTAACGGTATAATTGGACTAACGAAAAATGCCGAGTTGGCAATATTTTGTCAATAGGTGAAATTAACTTAAAATAAAATAAAAAGAAATTAATTAATTTTTTATTCTCTCTCCCCTCTTTCCTTCCTCTTTCGCCGCGAATAATGCCTCCCCTCTCTTCTCAATTCCAGATCCCCACCTTCTCAATCCACAGCGCCGACACACGACGATCTCCATTTCCAAATCCAACATTCAAAACCAAAATCCCAAATCCCCAGATCTAGAAAACTCCTCCTCAATCCCTTTTTCACCACTGCATCCTTTGATTCTTTAATAATCCATGGCTGGCGGAGTAGTCAAATCCCGAGACAGACCACCATGCAGCGGCTTCGTAGACCGAGGCCGTCGCCGTCGTCGTCGCGAGGAGGAATGATGGAGCCAGAGACTACTCCGTCGCTCTTCTACTCTCTCGCTATGGCAATTTTAGAGCTTCCTCCCGCAAGAACCCTACAGTCGCTGGGTTTCTCCTTCCTGTGGAAGAAGAAAGGGCGGGGGGGGTATGGTGGAGTACGGCAGAGCTTTGGAGGCCACCGCTGACGAAGAGGCGGATCTAACAACGTTCAGGAGAGCGGAGAATACAGGGGAAGAAGAAGGCTAGTGGAGGAGTTGTGATAGACCGATAATTGCACATGTTTTCACCCCTATTCTGAAGCCGTTTGTGATGTGGAATCTCGTGTTTTAAGCCGATTTCACGCTAGGTTGTGTGTTTATGTCATATTTCAGGACCCGGCGTTGGAATCGAGGCGGAGAAACGAGTTCTGGGTCGAAAGGAGCCGAGTTGGGACTAAGGGGGCTGCAGGAGGAAAATACCCGGTCGGTTGGCAAAATACCCGACCGGGTATTTATCGTTTTTGGCACCCGTGAGAAGCAGAAGGGGGCCCGGGCGATGGCCTTAAATCCCCGGTCGGGGATTTTGGTGGTAGACCGGGGATTTTCCCTGAGGACGAAACGGTGCGCTTCAATTATACCCGGTCGAGACCCAAAATACCCGACCGGGTATTTCGACCGGGTATCGCGAGGGCAGCTGATAAAAGCCGGTTTTGTGCGTTTTTGCAGGGGAGAGCTGGGTTGTGGATCCCAAACACCCAAGGGACGAACCCTAGAGAGAGAGAGCGACTTGGGAACATTCTTGGAGCTATTTTGGAGGATTTCTTCGCCATTGGAGCTCGGGAATCAAGCCCGGACTTGAAGATTGATCATCTGAAGATTCTTACTGCAGTCTCTCTCTTCTCTATGGAGTAACTTCCCTTCACTTAGGTTTTGAGGAACCCTAGCCATGTTTGTTTGATTGGATGATTGTATGAGTACTCTGACTTGATAATCTTGAGTTCATATTCAATCTATGCATGTTTTCACGATTCAATTCTGCTTTAGTCGAGATTATTGATTCTGCTTTGATCCTATGAGAGTGAATACCTGATTAGGTCAATAGAGCACCATAGATTGATAGTAGTGAATCGATTGCTTTAGTCGAGGGTTGATTCACTGCTTTGTATCGATTGAGAACCTCTTTCGATAGAGGGAGTCTAGCTCAGAACGCCTTGATCGGTTGTTCTAGAGAAGGATACGTCCCTCTAGGCAATTGACTCAAGAGGGCCTTGTTCCTTTAGTCGAGACTCAAGGTCTAGTCAAGGATTCTCCGCATTGTGAATGAAAGTGAAACAAGTTAGAGATCATCAATCGTTAATCTGGCTAGTGGCTAGGGGGAATCATACCTAAGTGAGTTCCCAACCTGTAATTAGATTAACTTTAACTGTAGTTTGCTAGAGTAGTTTTAGTTCTTTCAACTTAATCTGTTTTGCTAGATAACGAACTGAAGCTGAGTAATAGTAACTCTAGAGACCCGTGGATTCGATATTTATTACTTGAGCCACTATACTGCAGTCCCTTTCATTGGTTACACTTGGCCATTGTTAAGAGTTGTGTCATAGCGAGTCAAGTTGCAGCCGTCGCTGCCGCTGGGAAATGTGGATTGGGAAGACGATTGTTGCTGGGAAAGGGATTTTGGAGAGCTTCTTCTCACCACGCAGCAGCTCGATCAACCTCTCTATAAGGTCGATCGTCTCTTTTTTATTTGGGTTTGCTCTTTCCTTGTGGGGTTATTTGCCGAATCAATTTTATGGGCAGCTGGCTCCTCCTCCAGGGATTCAAACAGAAGAGGTAGGAGAATGGAAAGAAGAAAAGAAAGGGAAATGGATTATGTTGGTGGGATTGGGGTTTTCTTCAATTGGATTCTGTTGGTGGGAGATCAGAGGAAGGATAATGGAAAGAAGAAAAAGAAAGGGGCGGTGGTTAGGGGCAGGGAAGGGGAAAATTAAAATATTATTTATTTTTAATTTTAAATTAATTAATTTTATAATTCAAAATGACATGGCAATGATTTGATGACTGGTCGCTATGTGTTCGACGATTTAGCATCCTAGTCAGCGTAACGTTAATCTAACTGATGGAGTTTCTAACACTGTTAAAGTTTCAAACGGAAATGGATAGATTTGTCACACTACCATCTAATTTTTGGGCTATTTTGTGTTTTCGGATAGTTATGGCTATATTTGTCACAAACGTGAAAGTTAGGGCTATACAAGTGTATTTTGCCTTAAAAATATAACATTTTGATACATCATTATATCTTTTCTCGGAGAACTCATGGCTCTTCGGGTTTCACAGCCTGGTGCATGACTCACAATATAACTAATGTTTTTTGTTGTGGTGATGCATACGTGTAGTCCGGATCGATTCACGTTTTGGGAGGTGCCATTCTGATGGAAATTGATCAGGTGTTGCAAACATCTCTTCGAAGTGCTTATGTCTATTCGCACTTCATAGATACAATATGGCTGCTCATATCGTGAGAAAACAAACTGTCTTATCGTTGGTTCATCGACTTGTTGACAAACACCATGTAAGGGTCGTTTGCTTCTAGGATTTTAGAAAATGAGGGATTATGATAAAACCTTGGATTTTGGATATGAGAGATTATGTTGGATTTTATAACTTCCATGTTTGTTTGTAGGATTTGGTAATGGATTTTAGTAGGTTGGAATTATGGTTTGATGGGGGAAATTACTTTCTTATCCTTAATGAACCACTTTTTACTTTACTTATATTTTGAGTGTTTTTGTATATACGTGAAGAATTAGCATATGTAAAAATGGCAGCAGCATCCATACTATTTGGTCATATTGTATACACGCAAGAAGCCATTAAAGTAAATTGAAACTCTCAACCCAAACCAATAATGTCGAAAGGAAAATCAAGGGTTTGGATTGGATTAAAACAAAAAGGAGGATTTAAGCATGAAATAATGAATTGTTGAGCTTCATATAAAAGGAAGGCAAAACGGCGACAGGCGGAGATGGAAAGGGTTCAGGGTTGGCAGTTGGCACCCTACTTGGTCTGGTACATCGACGACGGAGATGAGAAAGGTGGTCTTGCCAGAGCTTTTTGCTGTGTTGCAATCCCTCGGCAATGAAGAGAGAGAGTTTTTTTTTTACTGTATGAAGAGACAGAGTTGGTGAGATGAGAGTGTAGACAAAAGTCCTCACTAGAGATAATAATAACCGAGGGCAAAATTGGATTACATAAAATGAGTGGGGGTAACACGGTCATTAAACATCATGGATTATATCTATCTTACAAAATCCCAGCTATAGAGGTAGGATTTTATAATCCATGAGGCACGGATTTTAGCCCCAAATAACCCAATATTAGTGGACCCCACAGATTGAAACAAAATCCATTATGTGCCAACAAACATGGATTCATTATAAAGGCCAACATAAGTTGGATTTTGAGCGGAAAGCCCAAAATCCAGCACCAAAATACCAAAAGCAAACCACCTTTTATTTCTTTCTTTTGAATTTTAACCTTAAAATATATTTGTATCTCGTTATTCCTCTCGAAATGTCTATGAGAAAAATAATAGCATCCCGTTTTGATTTAATCAAATCATCGAACAAAATCTTTTAAGGCTTGTTCATATATCCCCCCGCGCTAGTTTCTCTCTACAATTCCTTCCCGGGCGCCGGCGCCGGTTGCTTCCCGCGGCAGGCCAAGCCGAACGACGGACCTCGCACCACCTCCGTGGCAATCACCGCATTCGCCGCCTCGGTGCAGTGATGATCGTCCCACATCACGTACCTCTTCGGATCCGGGCAGGAAACCGCCCCCGGCTTCCCGCACTTGGCCGACACGACGAAGTTGTACGGCCCGCCGGCGCCACAGCAGGCCTTGTTCACCGTGGCTTTGTCCATCCCGTACTTGACCGGGTCCTGGACCATCCGAATCGTGGGCCCATAGTAATCCGCGTAGTGGATGCTGACGTCGGGATGGAGGTTTTGCACCCGTTGGATTTCGTCACGAAGCATTGCGTTGTGGCTGCTGGAGACGCCGTTGTGGTAGATGAGGCAGCCGGTGAGAGGGTCGTAGGCGCTCTTGTCGTTGCTCGGGAAATCCGTCAGATAGGCCGGGAAGCAACCCTTTGGGAAGTCGCCGGGCACTAAGAAATTAACCTGCTCCCAGAGTATATATATATGAGTCAGTGAGCAAATAAACTAGGAGTTTGTTGTTAGGACCAATGATTGAAAAATTGTACTACTGGTTCAACCAAAATTTTTTTTATCGAAATTGGTAAGTGAAATGGAACGGTTGAATCACGATTTTAATATAAAATACTCTTTACTTATTTTTAGATTCTTAGTTAGAACTAATGCAAGTAAAATATGTGTATTGTAATTTGTTAGGTAAATTCGATGAAAATCTGTCTCTTAGGGAAATGCAGTTTCTATTGTTAGAATTATCGTTATATTTTTCGATTCTACGTTGTCATCCATCAAAAATCAATCGATAGAGTTTAATCAGAAAATATTCCAATCTTATGTGTCTTTTTTCTTCTCTAAATTTCGGTCGCAGATTATTCTTCTCGATCAGTCCAAAATTTCTATTTCTCGCTCGATTCCTAATTCCCACTCATATGACATATATTCTTAACACAATCTTATTATTCGCATAAACTAATAAGTCAATCTCGCCAACCATTCCCTTTTTCTTATTGATAGGATCAAACTTTTCTTTTTATCTATTGCTGGTTCAACGATTTGATCTCATAGTACTATCATTAATCTTCAATCTAGAGATTTCAAATTCCGATAAAGAATTAATTTTTTTGTCCATAATTTAAATTAAACAAAATATGTGAACTGTGAAAATTAATAATAGGGTATCATTTTTACGTACCGCTCCAAGCTGGATGATCTCTTCCATAGCCGATCCGATTTTCCCGACGACGAGCGGCATCAGCCCTTCGACGGCCTCCGGGCCCGAATCGCGGATCTGCAACGCCGCGCGCATGTAATCGACGCCGCCGATCTCCCCGAGGACGATGAGCGTGCTCTTCAGGTACTCTCTACACTCCGCCGGACTCTTACACAGAGACCCAAGCAGGGTCTTGAACCTTGCCAGCTGGACGCTGAGCGAGCAGTTCTGGCAGCTGGTGATGCCTCTGCCCTTGAGGAACTCAAAGTCCATGACGGTGGCGGAGACGACGGCGAAGTTGGCTCCCTGGCGGAAAGGAGCGGCGTCGGCGACGGGCTCGCCGTGGTAGGGAGGGAGCAAGGGGAGGCCGAGGTGCTGGGCGAGGAAGTCGACGATGGTGCGGCCGTCGGTGCAGCGGCCGGTGGGCTTGTGGAAGTAGGTCTCGCCGTAGGGCGGTTGTGAGCAGCGGTGGGGCTCGGCTCCCGGGGTGTTGTAGATGCCGGTGGCGGTGGCGGAGTCGCCGAAGGTGAAGAGGGAAGTGTAGCATGGAGGTGGTGGGGCGGAGGAAGCGGTGGTGGCTAGTAGAGAGAGAAGAAGGAAGGCGATCATTTGGCGAATCGCCATTTTTTTTTTTTGTTTCTTCTAGACGGACGTAGTAAGAGGAACTGGCGGACAGCTTTTGTGGATGAGAAGAGATCGATTGAGTGAAGTATATTAGACGCCTTTAAAAAGGGTGTTTGACATCTTTTTTTCTCCTTCTAACTGTACGTAATAATAGGGAATGAAATGTCCATTTTTAGCTTCACAAAATGTAATTTTTTCCTAACCCTACAAGATTACAAGTCTTAAAATTTAACTTCACACCAAATCAACAAACGAAATTAAAGACAAAAACAAATGGTCTGAAAATTTGGTGAACCCCGACATTGGGAGATCCAGACGCAACTGTCGCGGATCCACTCCCACCACATTTCCGCTACTAGTCAAATAGGAAGCCCCAAAAACCCCTTCTTATTTGACACTACCCATTTTTTTTAGCTAAAAAGTGGAGGGTTGGAGTAAAAAAAAGCTAATAGTCATTTAGCTCTTTAGATTGGAGTTAGTCTAAGTAATTAGTTGCCCACGCGGAAAGATGCACTATTGGGTTAAAACTTAAAATGAACTAACGAACGAATTAGAAAGACTGGTAAACTAGCTAGAATTGTTGTTGTTGGGCCAAATGGTAAGCCCTCAATATCCGTACGATGACTGGCGCTGCATTTAATTCTTCCATTGTCTGTACACCTCTTCTCCACGGAAAAAGTTAATAGGCTAACTTGAAGCTTCGTTAGCAGATACTAAATGATATCCAAAATACATGAACTAGTACCCAAGTACTAAAGGATCTAGAGAGCACAAACTAGTATTCTTTTTTCGGTAATAGCACAAACTAGTATTCAAGGTTTGCTAACTGATATCCAACATGAATTAACTATTATCCCAAATTCACAAACTAATATCTAGACAACACAGAATAGTATCCATACAACACATAATTAGTATCCAGATAACACATAACAGTATCCATATTGAATACTAGTTGGTTGATTGTGGATATTAGTTGGTATCTGCTATCTGGATACTAGTTTGTGATGTTTTGAATTAGGGATGGCAATGGGTCGGGTCGGGTCGGGTGCGGATAGTGCATATCCTTTACCCTACCCAAAATAGTTCGGGTTTTACCCATACTCATACCCACATAAGAAACGGGTAGAAAATCAAAACCATGCACATAACCGGGCGGGTTCGGGTTGGATAGTAAGAAACCCATGCCCACCCATTACCCGCAATATTCGGGTTCGGGTTTTACCATACCCACTATGATTCCTTCGGGTTCGGGTTTTACCCTACCCAATTAGGTCGGATTCGGGCGGATATCCACGGTTACAGATATTTTTGCCATCCCTATTTTGAATACTAGTATGTGTTATCTAAATACTTTAGTAAAATCAGCAGACTTGGATACTAGTTCATACATTTTGGATATTAGTTAGTATATACTAATAACTTATGCAGTTAGCAGAATAACTAGGCTACTCCTCCAAGGAAGGGAGGAAAATGGAGAGGATGGTAGAGATGACAATTTCGACCTGACCTGTTTTACTCGATTTGTTTGGTCTTTTTTGGGGTGGGGTGGGGCGGGTATGGGTACTCTCATCGATCCGACCTTCCCTGACCTGCCCCATTCTCGACCCGTTCTTACCTAAATTACTTGTAATCTTAGTCAAATTACTTAGAATTTTCCTTTTATTACATCAATTTTTAGCTATAATAAAGTTATAAATTAGTGAAAACCCCAATTTCTCCAATAATTTAACTACATTTATCATAATATTGTTTGTTTTCTTGGTCTTATAATAAAAATAAGGAATATTTCTATTGTTTTTCATATAAATTGCATACCCATTAGGTTGACCTGTCCCGACCCGCGACCCGTAATAAATCACCCGACCTGCCACGGAGCAGGTCTGGGTACCAAGAAACCCATCCCGGACCTCCCCCATTGCTATTCCTAGGGGATGGGAAGGGAATTAGCAGGAGATGACAATTTGGAGGTTAGAAATTGGAAAGACAATAGTGTTTCATGGAGGAAAGTGGGAAGGAAATGTGAATTGGGAATTGTGATGGATATGTTATTTTATTGGGTATATAATAGTAAAATAATTTGATTATAATTATTGAAGAAATTATGGACCGATATGGTATTTGGAGCGGACCAAATGAACCGAATACAATGATAGTCTGATCCTTGATCCTAAAATATCTTTCATTAATACACAAAGTTCTCATGAGTTTGGGTCGATTCGAACCGAACCGAATCGTTGCACACTTATAATTCTTTTTTCGAGCAAACATATCATCATCATCTTAATTACACTCTCCCTCTAGCCTAAACCACCTATTCTTACTTATATTATTCTATTTTTATCTTTGAACAATGTGGGTCCAGAGAAAGAAATATTAGTACATTTAATACATTTAACTATAAAAAAAATCCCTAAGCCCATTAGGTTTTCCTCCCAATTTGGAGGGTTTCCTCCAAAATGGTTTTTCCCTCCAAAATCACTTCCCTCCTTACGGTGAAAGAGTTCCAGTCTTCCAGAACAAGGAAAAAATACATCTATACCCCACTTTCCCCCTTACCCTTCTGAAAAAACAGAGGGTAAGTAAGTATAAATACACAAAACGGAGCATTTATTAGACCAACTACCACCGAACATTTGATACTTTCCCTCTCTTACTTTCCCCTCAATAATTTTACAGGACGAGGACACACTCAATTATTCGCCTCGGCCGTGTTCGGTGTTCGTGAGTCCCAAACCTTCTAGGCTCAAACTCGGGTGATAATAAAGTTCGGTTAAATTAGACTGAATTGATCCGATTCTAATCCGGTCTAGTAGGACCAAAAATTGGATTGGATACAATTCGGTTTGGTCTTAATTCGGTTTTGATTTTAGATTCAACTTGTCGGGATTTGAATGGCCCGAGGCCTGAAAGGGTAAGGAGTTTGTTAAATTTTGGGTGGGGCTGTTTTATCCAGTCTTTATCCGGTTTCGATCTGGTCGCGAACGATTTTTTACCTCAAATCTAAGCCCGAAGATGGGATTGTATTGTTTGCTATCCGGTCCGGATCTGGTTTCTGTCCGAATTATATGATCTAATTTCGAATAAAACCAAAAAGGCCGGAACAAAGAGCCACCCACCCCTAACTCAAACAGTTGCCTTGCATAGGAGATCATGAACTACGTGTGCATGCGTAATTTTCATAATGTACTTTTTGCATCATAATTGGCTAATGTACTGTTAATGCAGATAAGACTAGGGATATTCATCGTACCCAAGAGACATGTTGCGATACAAATACAATGATAGGGGAAAAAAGATTGGAGGTAAATAAAAAGGTGATAAAATTTTGAGTAAGGGTGAAAAAAAGACTCAATACTAATACAACCCCAACTTATTATGGGTTAGAGTAAGTATGGGTATTTTTATTTTTGGGCATATACATACTCAATCTTTTAGTTTGAGTCCAAAGTGGACCTATATTGTTGGAAGTTCAAAATAATATGGATATCTAATTATAATGCAATTTTTGTCTTATTTTTATGAAAAAAAAAATAGAAAGATGAAAACTAAATGTGCATAATGGGATTAAATGTTGTTAATGAAATTGTTGATATTCTTTTTTTGTCTATATAATCATTAGGCTCCCCGTTTTGGTCTAACTCAAATGAGACCCGATTCAGATCCAATCCAAAACCGAAAGGACGATATTTACCTCCAACCCGGTATGAAGGCTCTCCCTACAACCCATCCACATGTGCTCAGTCTATTGGTTGAATAATTATTTTATTTTTCTTTCCTAATAACATTAAAGCTAACGGAAAGGGAGAGAGGGAAGAATCATTTGAATTTCCTCTCTTGCAAACTTTTCATATCTCTTACTCACATCTTGGCTCACATTAAATTAATTAAATTGTTAATTTTAATATTTATTTATTTTTAAAATAAATAATTTTATATATTTACGATTATTAACGTACTATTAAACGTAATATTAGTTTAGAGAAAAATTAAAACACCCATACGTATTTTATACATAACTATCTTGTTCTGTATTTTACTAACTATATGTGGTTTAACTAGGATTACTGCCTGTTTATACCATATTATTCTGGTTCATACCAATTAAACAAAATAAGTATTCATGTGAAAAATCATTGGCATCGAATAAATTTAACCATGTATAAAATATATTTTTAAACGATCTACATTTATATTTTAATAATATACAATATTACAAATAGAATAAATAATATTGATATTTAAAGGGAACATATAGGGTACACAATCCCGGCTTGCAAAATCTTCGTCGTATCATGATGTCGTGATATAATGAGATGACATGGCGGGTTAGTACCATAATTCATGTCATATTTGAATACAACATTTAACGTCAACACCCAAATGTTTATATTTGAATCCAATAAAGAAGAGCAATATTTTTATTTATAAAATACAGCACAAATTATTATTATTATGTTTAATTAAATTCACTAAATTCATGCAATCCCTTTACCGACTTATTGAAGGACCAATATAAAAAGGTTGCATGGTAAAAGAGAAGAAATGGTTCTTCCGTCTCTTTTCCTTCTGTTAGTCATTAATGATTAATGGTAATAGAAAAGAAAAAATAAAATAATTATTTATCCAATAGACTGAGCACATGTGGACGGGTTGTAGGGAGAGCCTCCATATCGGGTTGGAGGTAAATATCGTCCAAACCAAATCATTCAAAATGCATATGGATCCATTTTAGCAAGACCCAATACTCATGTGAGTTTCGACAATAGGGTCACATTACCCAATGGATCAATTCACCATATCTAATTTTGATCAACAATAAAAACTGTTCAGCTTTGAATTTTATTCGAATTCATAAAGCAAAACTGTATGGATGAGCTAGATGTGCATCAATAACATGGTTAGAAGAGGGTTGATTTAAATTATACTAGCGTAAGTGCGTAACACTCTTTTTATCTCTTCTAGCAACTAGTCCCGGGTCTGGCCAGTTGGCCGGATGCATTTCGTCAATTGCGTAATTTACAGTATAATTAGTATTGCGAGATACATATTTATTTAGTAGTACCTTAGAATCTAAGTTATTCAAATATGCGAAACATTCAAAAGAATTGATAGCACAGGAAAACCCAAATTATTAAAATACTTGAACCGCTCTAAAGGATCAATTTCATGTATTTTCCGATATTCTATCTGACCCATAGACTAAACTCC